ACCTTTTATACCCATCCACTGTCCCTAACACCGTAACTAACCAACCTACAGTTGAATCTACACTTGTAGTAATGTCGTCTTAGGTCTATCCGAAATTATAGTTCTAACCTATTCGTAAAGTCCTAATTGTAGTTCTAGTCTCGTTCAAATCGTGTATTGTATCAAATAAATAAAAGCAAGCAAATAAAGAAATACTTATAAAACAACAGGACAAATCATCACGACACTAGTGAAATGCCTCAAAGCGTGGGAGAGACAAAGACACACAATCACTTTCACGCATGCAACGTGTACTTTACGCGTCAAGCGGGGAGGGGCTCAAAAAATAAAGAAGCGTTTACCTTGTCGACGTACCTTCGGTAAAGGATGAAAGAATCAGGACGAACCAAGCAAAAGAAAACGAACAGATAGATGGAGGAGCGGGCGTGCTTCGGGGTCGAACGGAAAATAAACGGGTGCGAGCTGGTCAGGGCCGCCAACGGTCGCTTCTACGATGATTTACCGTTTTCCGCGCGTGTATGGGCATATGACTTCCGGTAGGCAGTGGGAGGCACGACGCCTGGCCTGCTTTTCTTTCTACGGCTAGATCAGAAGAAAAGTCCTCCTCCTTTGGCGGGATCCTCCTGTGCCTGTCCTCCTCGTGTGCTCGTCCTCCGCCACCGTTTCTTTCCTTCTCCGTTACGCGACGATACGCGTCATCGGGCGGGCCCCGGTTAATACATTCGGCGATCCGCGTCAGAGTCAATGACATAACCGCCCGTCGGTTCACCTTTCAGCAGCCTCGACATGTTTTTTCCTGGCCTTCCTCTCTCGTCCTCGATTTCGAGCGACAACGACCTCCGCGTATGTATACACTGTCTCGGCGACGTGCCTCTCGCTTCCTTTGCGTTTTCTATCGCGTATGTGTATACCACCACTCGCCTTTCCTACGCCCCGGTGCGTAGCACACTTTCGCCGGTAGGAATCGTGCCGCGAAATTCTTCCGCACTTGAATTTACCGGATCGCGATTGGTTCACTCGCACGCGCGCCGCAACACCCGCGAAACCCTTCACGTTTCCGGACTATTTTGTCGCGGCGGAATCTCGAGAAAAAATTACGACAAACCGTAATGAATTACAACAATCCCCTGGGCCTCGTGACGAATGACAGTCGTGCCTATAGTATAACGCGGAATTAATTAACCGAGCCCAACGAGACGCGACTTCGACACCGGTCGTCCGATTTGAATTTTAAACGATCGAAACGGTTGCGGGGCAGCGAACGCGTCCGAGCGTTGCTCGTCGCGACACCGTTCGCGCACACTGGACCCGAGGGACCGAGGGAGAGACGAGAAAGCGTTGTCACTGGTACGAAATCCTTGCAACGACAATCTCGATCGGTTGCCAGACGAGGCTACGAACCGTTTTCGATATCCTTCTCAGTGTTGAACACGACAATCGGTAGAGTTGATGTTTGAGGGAGAAAAAACGCCGGACACGACAACGCACTTACCGAAATCGCGGTTACTGAGATTTCACGTTACTCGCGTATACGTTTGAAGATTTCGGGTTGTTGGCGGACCGACGAATCGCCAACTCGATTTTTACGACGCGATTATACTGTAGGCGTAAGCGCACGTCACTTTTAGAACCGGTCACATCGCCGATGAAACGGCATCCGCGGACACTACGAATCCAAACAACCAACAACCGCGACGTCACGAGTCGTACTAACTCGAGGTTGCAACTTGCGACACGTCCAGCCCGATGGACCTATCGTGGCGCTGGATGCAGGACGCGAGGGGTGAACACTGGCGGAGAGCGACACTGGCGCCACCGTCGGAGGAAGATCGAAACACCGTACGTTCGCGCCCACCTTTATCGACGCAGGTGTAATCTAATCAAATGCGTGCACACGCGGATGCGCCTATGCAAACGTGACAGTGTAATATGAATGCGTTTTATGGAGCAGAAGTGATGTCAATGGATCAGAATCTACGGTAACGTTAAAAAAATAATACATACATCCGTGTTACAAAATACCACATATGAAAGAACAAAAACAGAGGAAAATGTAAAGTCAGAATTTCTTAATTTAGAAAGCAATTTATTGTCAAGGCAATTCTATAGTCATGCGAATAATGCAATTGTAAATAATTGTTCCTAGATAGTTCGCTTCGAATAACTTCATCGTACGAACACCTTTTGATCGGGATCTCGAGTTCAACACAAACCGTGGCTCCAAGCACCTGAATATTTATAGAATTTCCAGCTCTGTTCGGTATCCTTTCGTTCCCATCGATTCCCTCAAAGATAAATTAATACTGATGTCGACAGAGAAAACTGCGAAATCGAGCGTTTTTTAGTGCGCTGAGCGTATCCAGCTCTCGCTTTGTGCCCTAATGAAACGAAGCCGTGGCTGCGTCGTTAACATTTATTCCCTCTTTCCTGTACACTTTAATTCATAGAAACCGTTGATTTTTTGTACGTTCGGGGCATATCGCGGTATGTAATCATATTATGCGTCTGTTTCACGGGGAACGGCTGACGAAAGCAGGGACCATTGCGAAAAGGGAGGAACTTATAAAGATACAAAACGGGATTACCTTATCAGTCTTATTCCCTGAAATAATCGAGACGTCCTCTCTGAATTTCATTCCGGAGCCACGGTTCCTCTCCATCTCGCCCACCTTCGCACGCCGATCGCCAACTTTTCTTTCCCCTTTTCCCCGAACATTACGGTTCAAAGTAACGCGAGAGTTAAGGCCGAATATACATCATCCCAACTCCCCCCGTATCCACGTATACCTCGATTATGGCATTCCAAAAAAATTTATCTGCCGTTTCAGGAAATATCAATAACTGATCCCCACCCACGAACTGTTTCTATTCCAACGTGGAAATATACGGACAGTGCAGCCCCGATCGTCCTCGTTTCACCCCTTTTCCCGTCCACCCCCGCGTGTAGCGTGTACGCCATACGAAACGTGCCGGAGTGTATCCCTCCCGTTCAAAATCGGAATGCGGCGGTCTCGCTGAGACGTTCAGGAAGTGCCCCATTCCGAAAGATGGCACGTGTCGTTGCCAGCCTGGATTTATACTGTTTAGAATCGGATCCGAAGGCGAAACCGTGGGTAGACCGGGTGTGCATATCGTTCCCCGCTATTCGCCTTGGATACCTAGTTACCTCGCCGTCTACTACGCGATTCATCCAACGGAGGCCCCTCCCCCGTGGTAGAGAGATCATCGTTACGAGTGTGTTCGAGTGCCCGGTGACACTTGTCAGACGAAATCGGGGTCGAGCTGTTAAATTATGAATCCGCGAATCGGAGCGTGAACTTTCGAGCACCCTGCCCGACGAATACTTTACCATCCATCCATCCACCCCCTTTGCACGTTCGTGGGAGCTAGAGCTAAGTACAAATCGGTGGAATCGGTCTGTTAAGCGGGTATATCCATCGAAACATTTCTACCCTCCCCCCGTCTCGATCGTTCAACAAAGAGGGAAGTTTCATTAAGCCACCGCGTGCCGGTTGTACGAGTATATTTCGTCAAAGTTACGAGTACAAAAGCGAGCGAAAAGCGATAACAGGCCTCTCTTAATTACAATCCACCCCGTAAAATCATCGTGGCAGTGTTCACAATTCGCCCATGCGAATCGATGATCGATATCCAACCTGGCGCGGCGCTCGTACACGTCGAGACGGTCCAGAAAATTTATTCGGCGCGATCGTATGCAATATTTATTCCGGCATACGCGTCACAGCGGTGTCCTTTGTTCCGTCAACTGGACTGGTTTTTTTATCCCGTTGAAAACATAAAATATACATGAAAGTGGCGACCGTGCAGTCACGTGACGTGATTTCGTCTCTCTGTGAAGATACTATCACGACTGGGTTCCCAAGCCAAGAAAAAACGTTTGGCGAAATGTAAATATGTGTTCCTTAGTTTGTTATCCCGAACGAACGTCCTCTTTCGGAAAACATATAGAACGTGCAGGAGTTTCTTTTCATCCCCCGCCGCGGTTGTCGAGTCATGATTTCATCGGAGAAGGGTAATACGAAAGGAGCAACTGCGGCGGAAAACGAAGACAGAAAAAGGGCCGGCTGCAGTATGGTCCTCGCCCCGCTCCTGAGATTTATCGAAGCCGAACACCGATGCATTAGCGATGGGAAGAGCACGGAAACGAGATGAAGGTAACGAAGCGAGGGAGGAAAATCGACGGAGGGTGTTCAAGAGAGGAAGCATCGACCAACCTCTCCAACTCTTAACCGTCTCCTCTCTCCCTCTTCTTAAAGCCCCGAAGGGTCCCTCAAGACATGTAACGAATCAATTGAGATCAGAAGCTCGTTGGGGATCGCGCGAGCGCGCGAGGCATGTCGGCCAGATATGTATAACCTGAATGTATCAGAAACGTTGAAATAAAAGTATCTGAAACATCGAAAAATTTTATGCAATAACATACAGCATCGTGATACAAAGTATACATATTCCTGAATACACTAATAAAAACAGACAACAATATTTATAAAAACAACCCGATAGAATCGAAGCCTTCGAACGGTGGCCCGCTTGTAAACCGATTCGAGAATCGTCTCAGGTAAATGCCGCTGAATACTGCTTTAATTTCACGAATAGACACAGGTGAAAAGGAAGAAACAAGGGAAAGTTTCTTCTCCGTCGAAGATCCTTAACGTGCATATCCTCGTATCACATTACCGTTGCGTATCATCGTATCGTATCACTATACGATATATTTTCAAACGCAACGATGCAACGCTGTCCATATTTGTACACAACGGTAATACGATACGCAGATACGCAACAAGTGGACAGGCACCTTTAAACGTCCTATAGTTGTAACGTTTGTGGCACGGTCGTACGACTAGTAGACTAAAATCTAAAAATCTGTCGTCCTGACCGTCTGTCCAACTCCCTTTGCGACTTGTCGTACGACAAGTCATATAGTTTACGGGAGTCTTTAAACACGACAGAACGTATAAAAAAAATCATCGCCAGCTCGCCAACATCGCTCGATACAAAATGCCTGTGCACCGGTCGTTCGCAGCCGGGTAAAAAACTCGCCGGAGTCTGGCGGGAAAGCCGGATGGGGTGATATAAAATCGTGATTTCACGGGAAAAATGCATCGGCGTTTGCGCGTTAAATTAAATATGATCCTCCGTGTTGGTAATCCGGACGCGATCGAGGCTAATCCTCGAGCCGTGCGCAGGAAAAAAACGCTGGCCTGGAAATTTTATCGTAGCCGTCCGCGAGTTTTTTCCACGCATGTTCCCCCCTTAAACGTCTATAACATTCGAAATAATTTACATCGTTCGTGTTTTTTTCGTGATTTTCACACGTAGAACAAATTGTACTCGGTGACACGCGCGCGTCGAGACGTTCTTCCTCGTCGTGTCCGCCCGTGAAACACGGTTCTTGTAAAGCACGATGCGAAGAAACGTTTTCTTAACCGTGTAAAAAAAACAGGAGTGTTCGGTATCGATCGAATCATTTCGCTTCTATATTCGTCATGTCCTTCAGCCGTATCACGATACGCGACACGTAATCCTGTAGCAACGATTGCTTCGCCTTTCCTACGTCCATCACCTCCTCGTGATTCGCCTCATCGTGGTTCTCGTAATCGATCACACATTGGTTCGTGATCAAACTGAACGCGAACACCGAGAGATCGCAGTGGCGAGCGGTGATCACCTCGTGCACCGTGGACATTCCTGCGAAATGGAATCGGAGATGTTCGATTAACGCTAGTGACAAAGTAATCGGATACAGTTCAGGTAGACTGTGAATAGGTTCTGTATTACTGACCGACCGCGTCGACGCCAACCATCCTCAACATCTTCAGTTCCGCAACGGTCTCGAAATTCGGCCCGCCGAGACACGTGTACACACCTTTGTGCACAATATCATTGATGCCCATCTCGTCGGCTACTTGTTGGCCTATATCTAAAAGCGTGGTGCTGTACGCTTTGTTCATCGGCGGGAACCTCGGGCCGAATCTGAAAGAAGTAAACAGACAATCGTTACCGAGACATCGTGCACAAGAGAGTTTACCGAAGAGATAAGGAGAATACGTGGAAAATTATCGTACACGTTTTATGAGGGATCTTTTAATAGGGAAATGTTGAAAAAATCAAACGAGAGAGAGACTGTAAGGAAATAAGATTTCGTGGATCAGTGGATACCGTAAAGTGGACCGTGAACGAACGAGACGAGAAAGCAGATAGCTGAGACCGAAAGACGCTAGGGAAAAGAAGAAACTGGGTTGGGCCGGAGGGAAATTCTTACGTAAATACGTCAAATCAGGCTCTTTATGTCGTCGTGTAAATAGTTCATCAATCCGATTCAAGGGGTTGTTCCGATGAAACAAATTAATTTTATTCCTTCTACGAGCCTTCTACGACCATCTCTCCCTTCATTTGCCCCCAGAGCGAAAGCCCTCTTCGAGCGTCGTCGTGCCAAGCAATCCGCGAACGGAACTCTCCTCCCGGAAACGAGACCGAAAGCCTTTGTGTTTGACTTAAAGCGGATTCGAATTCATTGCCGTTCACGGCGGGAATCTCTTTGCACCTTCTTTCACTCGCTCTTATCGGTCCCTCTCGGTTGCTTCTTTCGACTAGACATCCTCTTCTTTTTCTTTGTTTCTTTTTCCGTCCCTCCTGACAAAACTTGAACGGACGCGCAACGGTCGCTAATTTCTGCGTCGTCGAAATAAATTTCGCGAAAAGAGCATTGCTTCGTCGAAGAAGACGGTCCTGTGATATCGGGGACAGATTGACAAGGAAGCCTGAAAGATGCGCGGATGAATGGGGTAACTCGAGGCGAATCCTGCCTCGTAATATGACCGACGCGAGTGGAGAAGACCAGGAGAAGAAGATACCACCTACCTGTCGTCGTTGGGTCCTTGAAGAGGGTTGTTTCCCGCGAAGCCCATCATGTTCACGTGATCCTTCACCATCATAATGTCGCCGACCTTGTACCTGGGGTTCAAACCTCCCGCTGCGTTTGTCGCAATCAGATGGGTCACGCCCACGAGTTTCATAACTCTCACTGGCATCGCGCACTGCGTCCGAAAAACAGAGAAAGAAAGAGATAGGAACGAGTGAGCAATAATAGGTTGTATTCGAATAAAAAGTTTAAAAAACACACGAGGGCCCCTTGGCGTATCTACTCGGTTAATTAACGCTAATGAATGAATCGATAACCCTCGACGTGCCTCCGCGAACGAATCACACGCGATCAGTTTGTGCGTTCTCTGTTCCATCATGTATGATCACGATGTTTCTTTTTGTTTTTTCTTCTACGACCTCGTAAGATTTCGAAATTATAATACACAGTGGATTGTGCTTATTTGGGCCAACTGTTAATCGAGGTAACCGGTTTTTCTAAACAAAGCCTAATCGAATGTACTGTATTCAATTATGTGTGATACTTCGCATAATTGGGACAGTCGCTTAATCGGGCCAAAGAACGCTAGTCTTGATGAGTCCGAAATAAACCCGATATCCACTGTACGTGTTCATCAGGATTACTTACTTTCCAAAGGGGATAACCCTCGTAATAATGAAATCTTCCCTGCATACACATGACCGGCACACCGTGCAGAATACCGAAGACCATCTGACCTTTGTGTCCCTGCACTGTGGACACAGGGAAATGTGGGATTTCTTCGTAAGGGAAGCACTGCTTGTCCTCGAGGTATTCCGCCAGCGAACCTGGACACAACTCGTTTTGCTCATTTGATCCTGTACGGGAATAGACACAAAACATTTACACGGAAAATACACTAAAAGCACGAACGCACAGGCGCATACATACACAGGGGTTGAGAGAGAGGGACCGAACACGGTCGTAATAATCAGTCCCGCGTATATTTAACGAGATCGTGCAGGATTACGATAGAGCTCTAAGCCAAAAACTCACTAACCCATTCCGGAGCCGCATATTATTCCGATCTTTGGCCTTATCTTGACACGGTCCAGGAGGTACTGCGCCGATTCTTGCAGGGCCTCGAACGTGTATCTAGAAAAAACAAAGCAATGAATAATTAAATTTGTTAAAGGTGACTATAGTCACCCACAGTTGGGCGCTTTTTGTATCCTAAAGGTGACAATAATCGCCAGTAAAACTTTCGCATTAAGTAAGAATTGAATCAAATTCAATTAATTCGACTAATTAAGTGCATTAATTAAACTGGCGTTACACTAAGGCAAGGATTAAGGTATCATCACTTTCTGATACTATCCTTATTATATGATTGAAATTAATCCGCCTAGATTATTTCAGCAGAACACGAAAATAAGTTGAATCTCCTATCTACAAAGAAGACGAAAAACATTGTCCAATTCGAACGAATCAAAGGTCACTCGAATCCTACATCTCGTACGATCTCGTGTAAACGTATAGCTGGGTTTCCACCACATCACAGGTGTCGTGCATAAACTGCCAAGAGAATGGGAACCGAAACCGTCAGAGTTGCGACGCGTTACGTCGTCGATGAGGGACCCGTGTGGTTCCCGTGTGCTTCGCGGGGCCACCGACATAATTTCGCCACCCTTTCTCCCCCCGCCGCAGGTGGAACCGCCACAAAACGGTGCAGTTACCTGTTAAACTGCTAACAGGCTCAAATAGAGGCGGATTTAAGCTGAATGTAGGCTTCGGGGGGTATTACAAATCATGCATCTGAATACGTGTGCACGTTCGCCCGCGTACACGGTGTTTGCGAATGTCTGTGCATGTGTGCGCCGGGGGTCCCGTGCACAACTCATCTACCGTATACGCATTCACGCGTGCACCAATGCAGAATGCGCGGCCGCCTCGCGGACCGGCTCTACGCACAGATGCACACGCAGAATTTCCGTGCATCCGAGCGCGTAAGCTGCCCTCGGGCATAATACTGCGTGCACGCGTGACGCAATCGAAAATTACTCGCGCTTCTATACAAATTTCAAAAAGTTCCTCCCCTTCCCCCCATCACCGGCCTCTAAACCTCCCGTTTTTGTATTCTTTTGAATTATTATATGTATACATAAATGCATATATAAGATTATATACCTGTGCAATATCACATCGTCGTTATAACCATTAGGGGCTTAACAATCCTGGGTTATTCGAGATACGATCGAGCGTGAATTAATCCGAGGTCACGATCCGAGGATGTCTTGAAAGTAATAATCCGATCAAGGCAACGTTTGCGAAGCGAAGTAATTTGTAAACACCTCTACGTCTCGAGGAATTAATATTTTCATAGTTGGAAAATGATAATATACGAGAAATCTCGTAATCGGTCCGATCAGTGACAAGTAGTTCGAGAAATTTCGGTCAGACTATGTCTAAGTTGCGGATCGTATCTTTCTGACTGTGACCTACGATCATCACTGACAGAAAAGTTATCACCAAAGCTTATTAAGACGATAACACTTTGGAATTCATTTACGACTTGAAAGCATTCCCCCTTTAAGGTTACATCACTCGCGATACGACCTATTAAAGGACAATAAAAGGACCACACATATATTTGACGTACACAGGATAGAAAATGGACACGTCCGAGATCGATCCAGCGTAAAAATTTCATTTCTCCATCCAGATGACCCGATATCGCGCGAGGATAGAGCGGAGAGATAATCGGTATGCATACGCGTCACCGTAAGGGACATCGAATAATGGCGCGTTGAATGCGTTTGAATATGCATCCGCGGACCAATACAGACGGAGCGCCTAGACCCGAACGATCCGTATTCAAGGCTTTGCGAATCTGAGAATTGCTTCGCGGTCTATCGCCGAGGTCGCCGCAGTCTCGTTGGGAAAAGCTTTGATATATAGCCGCGGGTATGCCAAACGTCATTAGACCAACCGCTATTCGCGGATGCTCCATCGTAAAACGGGATTGTACGGTGCCCGTTACGAATGGCAAATGTGAGGTCGGCGATTATTATAACGACGTGAATGCGCGCAACGCCTCCCTGGGGACATCGCGGGAGGATTCAATAACGCCTACGCGATTCCTGGGCAACAATATCAGTTGCTCTAGTCTCGGATACGGATGTACGGGCGCGGCTCTGAACTGCTTCCCAGCAGTGTCACTTCCTTCGAATTTAATCGAGTTGTAATGCTCGACATCACGGTTCGATAATGATTTCGTGGTAAAATTGAACAACGTGGATGGAAATGTTTGTGAAGCATGGGTTCAAAAAAAGAGGGTTTTATGTGTGTGCTGCAGCCGCCTGAACGAATAACAAAATACAGTAGGGCCCCCTAAAACGTGGAGAGAACATATCTTTCGCGTTATACAAATTTCCTGTTATATTCGTGTCACTAATATAAGTCCTTTTCAGCAATTTTTGTAAACGCCTTATAGGGGACAGTAGCGTAATTTTTATTGGCGTTGTATACTGCAGATAATCACAATGCTTCATCGTAATCTTCCACCTCTATCCGCGTTATCAGAGATTTTCTAATTGCTTCGATTCATCGGATATCTCGTATCCGCCAATTCTTATGATTGATAAACGAGTCATTAAGCTCGTCAAACATCTCTAAAGGAAAAAGTCTTCGTGAATGCAAGTCAAGATATCAAGACAACACCTAGATCGAACCGTTTTTATTACCTGAACGAAAAATAAAAGGATTTTGTTCCTCGATCTACGAGTTCTCGCCGTATTTCCCGTTCACATCGATGAATACCGAACCCCTTTTCTCCCAAATACCCTGTACAATTGGGATCGAACTGGTTACTCTCTCTATGATCCTATACACGCGCGATTCCTGACCGAAAGACGCAGCAACGTTCGACTTTCCGCTGGGCCCGTTGAAGTGCCTTACAGCTTTCAGGAACGCGTCCCATTTTCTCATCGCACGTTCCATGAAGTGGATAAGAGCGCGCGGGCCACGCACAGAAAGTCTTTCCCCGGGAATAGACGGGGGATATCGAGCGACGACGGCTCGTTTGAAGCGAAAGTTCCCGGTCGCTCTGGAGAAAAAAAAAAAAAAAAAAGGAAGGGTTTAATGCCACTCCGGATTTCTATGCGCCGATTCGAGCGCGAACAGAGAACGGGCCGGAAACGGAGTGCAGCGAGGGGGTTGGGAAGAGTCGTGGCGGAATGCGCGCGGTAAATATTAAATGTATCGAGTACAAAATTCATCCCCTGAGACGACGGAAACGGGTAGGGGAGGGGGTGGACGTGACGTCAAGGGAAGAAAAACGAGCGGACGGGAATGCGTAGAGGATCGGAGCAACTAAATCAGAAACTCCACCACCCGAGCTCAATTCCGCCTGCAATTTTCAACGATATCTCGTTGCTACGATTACGTATACGCGACGGCGAAACGTTCAGCGGTCACACACAGACAGCGTTCGTCGATCCCTGGTATACATATTCATCGCGTCGGCCGATTCGTCGGGCTAATAGAGGCCTTTGATAAAACCTGAAACGACCTTCGGGGTTAATTTTAATGGCACGGAACGTCGTTCCCGATGTCCTGAACATCGATCCAGCCGCGTTGACGAATGAGTGAATGTATCCCAATCGCAACGCTGGGTTCCAGGGGTTACGATGAGATGATGTAACGGATTACGAAACACGGAAAAAAGAATTCATTTATCATCATCGACCGTGTGTACCCACCGTCTCTTTCTTCCTCATTACACGAGTTTGTTTGTCAGACGTTCTACGTCACGACGCCTATTTACGTTGAATTTATGTTTACGTTGCCCCCCTTCCCCGAGTTTCGCATGGCCTTATCATCGGTCCGCTCGATTGAACAAACAAAATCAAAGTATGAACACTCGAAACTTCTAATTGAATGCATCGAGCACAAGGAAGCTGGAAAGGCGTATCCCCCTGACGTGTAAATACACCTAAAACACGATCGAGGTGTGTAGCTGCAGGTACCTATGTCCTCCACGAGGCACGCGTTGGAAGATGAAAAAAAAAAATTACGAAATCGTTAAGAACAATCTTCTGTTTCCGCATCACGTGCACTACGAAGTATAATATAGATTACACACGGGATACAGAACCTCGGCAACGCGTGTATAATTTAATGGTTATCGTTTATGCTTGAACTGGTTTTCAGGAAGGAGTAGTGATGCATCGTGCACGGGGAACTATTAAACAATAGGGTTTAAATCTCCGCGGGAACGAGTTACGGGATGGCGCGAGCGTGCTTTAAGTCGAATTCACACGCGCTTTTCGTTGCCGTTAAAGCCTGCAGCATTGAATTTTCGAACGATCATTAATCAAGATAAATCGTGAAATTCATAAACCGCGTGTAGTACATATAAGATACCAATATTGAAAAAGTCGATCGGAAATTTCGTTGCCGCGCTCGTGGATCCAGAAAGGGAGGTGGGAGGACGAAGTTTCGGTTCTCCTCATTCAAACTCGAGAGTTACGAGGGGAAACTTACGGTTTAGTAAATATCGTCGGGCGCAAGATAACTCGATGGGTAGACCATTAACTTTCGCAATTAGTCGGGCAACTCGATACACAAGCACCGGGCAATATCGCCTCGGATTCAGGGCACACGGTGGACCAGAAGGGAGGGAGAAAGAGAGAGAGAGAGAGGAGTCCGGGGGCAATTAGTTGCGTTTGGAAATTTCATATACGTCTCTTCAGGGTTCCAGGGGGCACATCATCATTTCCGCGTTATTTATTACCGAGAAAGTTCTGTTACGGTTGTTTCAAGTGGCCTGTCGACCCCCCACCGACGACTGTTGCAAACTTTTTTCGACGTTAACGAGGACACGGAAAAGCGATGAACCGTAACCGAATTGCCATTTACAATTCCTCGAGCTTTCCTCTTTGAGCGCAACGTCTACTCGTTGAAAAAAAAATTAATGCACGCTCCTAAAAGCTTCGCGAAAAAGTCGCTGATTCTCCGGGGCGGTACAGCGTCGCTAAAAAATTTCGAGCGGTGTCGTCGAATATATCTCGGGAATGTCAAAGCTTTTCTGCTTTCGTTGCACCATCGAAGAATATTTTCATAGATTGTACCAAAGTTCGACCCCCGGGACCACTTTTCCTTTTTCACACAGGCTTCGAAATGAGAAGCGACTAAACTCGACATCTCTATAATGCTACGAACTAGAGCTACAGGATGACTCGAAATGAATTTAACACTTTTGAAACGTTTAGCGTATACACGTATGCAGCTTCAGAAATTCGATGAATAAAATTTGAACTTGAAAGTATTTGACTCGTATGTATGGGTTTTACGTAACTATTTCAACACTGACACTTTTGTACACTAACGGGGATTTACCCCGTTTATCCTTATCACTTGTCTTAATGAAGATGATATAAAATCGCAGCAGGCCGTTCGACACTTCACAACTCTGCACCATAAACAGTTTATTCCCGTGCTCTAATATATTTATCTTTTCTTATATATGTATTTACTTTACCAAAGGGTATCACTCGTTTAATAAATATTATTACTATATATAAATATATATAAAGTTTTCCACGGGACAAGTTCCCGTCTCTAGTGGACCGACTAATATTCCATTTTGCCTGCATCAGTTGTTCTGCCGTTTCTCAAAAGTCACTTACGTGCTGTGCCGTACATGCTTGACACCTGTGTGCAAGAACTCATTCTCCGTGGGTCGTTTCTGGTTCTGGTGATCGTTATACCCGTTGACAACGTGGCCGTCCGCGAATGGCATCGTTCCTCGATCAACCGATTGTTGACGTGGATCGCACGAAAAATAGTCTGGAGATTATTCTAAATCGCTTGAACGATGAATTTTTCTCAATGAAACTGATAGACGGTAACGAAATAAAAGTCGTTCACGGATCTTGTACGCGCCAAATGCAACAACGTGTTCCCGTCTGTCGTGTATGGTTTACGAAACTCCTCGTATAACTAGTGGCTGGCGGGACTGTTGCTGCTGTTTTATATGGAAACCCGGGAGCGTGGAAAAAACGCGAGCAGCAACGAACCGGCCAATCGTTTCGGACGTAGACACGGCCTCCCTCCAATCCACACGGAGATCGGAACGGTCTGAAAATCGCTTGGGAGGTAGGGGCAGCGGTACACCAGAGATGATAACCTATTATGAACTAAATGCTCCAATTGCCAACGCGTTGACCGTCCGCTGTGTTTTATTTGTTTCATGTGACAATAACTCAACCGCGACGACGAACACAATACATTTTATAACCGGCAAACATTCACCCACCCTCGTAATCTGAATGGTAAAAAGTACGATAACGATCGAAGCGTCGCGGAAACGTATATGTTACCTGTTACTTGTAAACATCGATGATCGATTGCTTCTACCGGTATGACTCAATTGCGACACTACGTAATCACCAAGCGTCCTCGTGAAACTCGTACACCTTGCCCAGGTTTATGAGTGGGAAGTTCAGTTGGCTTTCTCTCGGTTAAATACCACCTGCGGCCTCCAAGAGACTAGATCTTTCTCTTCAGATTAGATATGTTCGTTATTACGCGATACCACCTCCTCTGATCCCGTTTTCGCCCGCGTGTAATTTCGTACCTGTTGCTCCCTTCGGAGAATTTCAAGTTCTTTCGTTATCCGACAATACACGGGGCAAAACACATTTTGTCACACAGTGCCATCCAAAATAGCCCGTCCCGAGCGATTTTATTACGGTGGAAAATTTTCTTAATCTCACTTCCATAAACGAGATATTTCGATCCATTAGTGTGATCGTCGCGATGTTCCTGGGAGATGATCGAACTTGATCGAAAAAGTGCTACCGGGTCACCTTGCTTCATCCTTGAAACGAATGAACTATCATCACGAGTTTATTCACTTATTTCGGAGTTACCCTGTGTATATATACTCATCTGAAAGAACTCTCAACGGTTTCTCTATCGAGATTTAGTGTAATAAAATTACGTTTGTTACAAGTGGAAATGGCCCCGCACTTATCGCGATACCTTCGAATAATTTTTCCTTCTCCGAAGATTAAAAGCGTTACTGAAACAACTGCGACTGTTCCAGGCTAATGACGGAGGAAGAAACAGACCCTTCTACATTTATCCGAATATATCAATCATGATCCCGGTTGTACGTTTCCCGCTCGAGCGCCCCGTATCGGGAAATCCTGAGACAGATTTACGTCCCGGCGATGTCACGTGCACCAATTTGCGAGGATACGAATTTTGGCCGGCTTCTACTACCCCCCCCCCCCTCATTTCTGCTCGTGTAATGAGCCAATTACGGCCTATTAGCCGTGGACCGCCTTGAATCGCCGGAAATTTGACGATGTTCCACGAGCGTAGAAATTACGGTTCTCACATTCGATCGGTAGACCGTTTAGGTTGACAGGCGAATGTAACCCCGTTTCCATAGTTTTCCAAGACATTACCATTAGTTTAGACGCTCCCACGCTTGTTACGCTGTAGATCGAACGATTAAACAAGAAGAAGAAAGAGAAGAACCGAAAAGAATACTCTATTGATGGAAAAAAAGAGCTTAAAGTGTGTTACTTTAATATGAACAACAAATAAAATTATATAACAATTATACAATAACAGCATTGGTAATTGTTTATGACTTTTCGAAATCCACAGAACTCAATTATGAGTAATTGCTAATCCCCTCCGTTATCTGACAATATTATTTGCGAATTGAATTAATCGCACGTTTTATCGCTGATGTGTTTATATCGAATTGATCTTCGTATATAATGTTGCAGCAAGAATTCCGCTTGTTTTGCAGCTAAACACAATTTTTATTATTACGGATTTAAGCATCGTTGAGTTCGTATCGGCTTTCATTCTAATCGTTTCGTTATGTCATTGGAGGAAACGTTTCTACCAATGCGAAATTCTTAACAGGCCTCTATCAGCCTGTTTCGAAGCTTTCCACAGCAAATACGATTATATCTGAAGTCGTTATCGAAATAGGGATTTAGACTGTTCGATTCCGAAGAAAACAAAGTTCTTGGAAATGTGAACAATATATATATATATATATATATATATATATATATATATATACACATACATATATCTTATTTAATCCAGCCTTTTATCGATAATCGAAGACCACCAGCCAAGCGAATTTTTATGACCGTCCTGCATCGGATTCTCGTTCATTTATTGGTGAATTCGTGAATCTACAATGCCTGTATTGTGTACACTGTGTTAAATCAATGATTCGTTTCATAGCTTCTCGATCAGTCACGGTGCCGTTTACATTCGTATAAACAATGGTTTGGTATAATTAATCATAGCACGACATTCCGTCTGGTTACACAAGGATAACAAAAAAGCATTAGTAAAAGCTTTTCTTATATTTTCTTCAAACTTAAAGAAGGTTACAAAGAAAAATAAGCCCAATTATATTGGAGAAACAGATCTTAGGACTAGGTTAAGTGACAATAATGATCTTTATCCGTTTATTTTTCACCGATCTTTCTCCCTTTATCGCGCGGGTTCCCACGATAACAGAACCCTCCACGATTATTTTTTCTCCAGTCTCCTTTCTTGTAGTAAACTATAGCATTCGTTCATGTCAGTTATCTAACGACGAATGGCTGGCAATCAGTGTATGTCTTCCGAAACCCCTTTTTTTCCCCCGAAAACACGGTTATCGGTGAAGAAAAATGGGGTGGTAGAAGGACACCCTCCTCCGGAAACTTTCACCACCGTGACTCTTAGTTATCAAGAACAGTGGATTCAGAGCGGGTGATACTCGAACGATATCGGGGATCAAACGATGTTCCAACGCGTTATCGAACAGATCGTTCTGTTCAAAGATCAACGAGATCTAATCGTCGCGGATGTTAATAGAAGACAACGGATATTGCGTTCGAACCGCGATGTGCTGACCTCTGATGTAACGATCAACTAGCATTATTTTTAAAAGGATCGCGCTCAAGTGCACGCGACCGACGCACGCTGGCTGTTGGTCGACTCTTTGTGTTGTTTCTGCCTAGCTTTGTTTCCCAGGCTAAATACAATTCCGGACGATTACGCAGAGATATGATTCAGAGAGATAACGGTTCCATGAAAGTATCGACAGCAGCACATTGACGATTCATTGCCTCGCTTGTACGTGCAGGATGTAAGGAAATAAAAGATCGGCAAACGGAAATACAAAGGTCGCGCAACCTGTTCCTCCCAGGGAACCGTTTAAGTAAAAATATAAAATATATATATAGGATATGGAGCAACCTTGTCACGGGTCCAGTGGCCGTCTCCTGTCTTCCAACTCGTCCACAGATTTCATAGATACCTAAAACCATTATCTAAAACTGGACCAACTTCAATCTTTTCCTCTTATGAATCAATTCCGTATCGAAACTCCGATCAAGATCTCTTTAATGTTTCCAGTCTCAGCTATTTCTAGGCCTCTCCTGCTCGACCTAGTCAAGCAACCCTCGTAAATAAAAGTTTTTTCTCGAGACACGGATGAACTTTGTATTAAAAAAACAAAAAAAAAGATAGGACCAAATCCAGCGTGAACTTGCAAATTACGGCCCACCGTCAGGCGTCGAGGGTTGAAACGCGCCCGTGCGAGGGGGTAGGGGGTGGAGGGCCGAACAGACTGTAAATTCAGTTTTCAACCGGTCCTCACCCGTCGGAGGGCTACTTTGCGATGCAACGAGTAATGCATAATTTCGCTGATCGTCTACAAAGAACCGCGGCCCTTTGGTCGTAAACAAATTTCGGCGTAGGAGCGCGCGATGCTGCGGGGACAGATTCTCGGCGTTACCGAACTTTCCTAATTGAAACTTTATACAGTTCTGCCGACGAACAAAAAGAAGAACGGAGGTGGACGGAAAAAAGGATGGACGAAAGCACTCGGAATAGCATTAAACGTGTAATTAATTCGAGCAAAGCGTGACGCTCGCATTGTTACTCGTGTCTTTCACCAGGATTAACATTAAAATGTTAAAAAGAAAGAATACAAATTTCACGAGTAAATGAACATTTACTAAAGTTTTTCTTTCATAATTTTATATACAACAAGAATTTCCACAACAGTAACGTTCCTATTTATGGAAGACTTTTGGTTGGTCGCGTAACGATCGGGGCGAATCGACCCAAGGGAAGGTTCGCGAAAATCGGTTCTGATTATTCTCAAACGTTTCACCATTCATATCCGCGGTTAAACGGAATTTTCTCTCGAGTGACCGGCACCCTATCGCGCATCGAGAAAAACTGACTGTCGATAATCGTGATCCGGGTCACGGAGAAGGAATAATCGACCGACGAATCTCCTTTCTTCGCTGTCCCATCCTTCTTCCATCGATGGACTATAATTGCCAATTAGATCGGTCGATTGAGCGTTTCATTCGCGGATCGAGCCGTGCGAACGGATCGCTTCATCCGATGGAAATATCTGTCGAAGAAGTTTTTCCTTCTGCCAGTGTCCGTCCGCGAACAATTCATTATCGTTTCGCCCCTGTTTCCACCTCGTCACGGATCTCTTAGAATCCAGATCCAAGTCCGATCCTTTTCCCCCGTTACTGCCACGAGAAACAGAAAGCTTTCGGCCCCTCGGAACGTTTGAGAAACATTGAACGATGATGATGTCCTGCCCAGCGGACTTGCACAAGACGCGCGAGAATACGCGTCCGCGAGTGCTGTTATCTCGTCGCACCACTGGCGAAACTTGATTACAAACAAACTGTCCATTGCGAACCACGCTCCTCGCACGCAATAACAGCGTAATTGTGCAAGCCTTGCTGCGACCACGATGTCGCGAGTGTGAGTACAGACAAGCTGATACTAAACGCACGATGCAAGCTGAATGGAAAGAGATTATCGTCGTTCCAAAAGAAATAAATGATGTAATGAGGATTTGTCTTCGTTATTCCTTTTACACGGTTAAATTTAATCAGATCGTGACCTTCGCTTCT